AAATGACGTCTCTTTCAACCTATAACTCTCTCCGCCACTCCAAGTTGTGTGAAAAGAACGATACTGACATGTAAATAGACTGGCTGCATGAGATCTTTGTAGAGATCGTATGCGCCTCCCAATCACCCCGCCATTCCATGCCTTCATGATATATGGTCATCCTAGTGAATTTGATCGACGCCATGTCGAGACACCGTCCACCTTGGCACCCATTTATGAAGTGGACCGATACAATTCGCTGCCGAATATACTTCGCGATTGTAGTTGTAAAACTATAAATTATGGTGGTAGTTACAGATAAAGTTTCCTAATTTCAGGCTGGTCTACCATATTCTTGTCAAATGATTACTAGAGAAGACGTCGCTGATTGGAGGCGTATGAGTGCTTACTTCGAGAATGCCAACGCCCATTTGGGCCCCTGGAACTCAAGCTGGTTACCATGCCTTGACGTTCGGGTAAGCGTCTCCCATAGGTAATTTTTATTAATTGAATAAATTAATTTTATTGAATAAAATTAAATGGAAATTTGATGAGAACAAGGAGTTTTGTTTGCAAGATCCATCAATATTCGATATAATACTAGTAACATAGAGTGATCACGAGATGTTCCCCAACATTTGAAAGACTAAAAGAAATCAGCTGTAAAAATTCAAGGAAGTGTCATGTACGTTTGTACATACCCTTTTTTCTCGGAAAAGAGAGGAGCGTCGAGTGCAGAGCACACACCACAAGTGACGACGGCTAAATAAAACGAAAACAAAAGGGTCTGCAATCGACGCTTTTCTCATTTCCCTAAATGGAGGGTGAATCATTATTTATAAAACAAAACAAATCGAAAATGCTAATTGAAAATTAAATAAATTAAAATTCATTGTTAAAATCACAGATTTCTCAATGCTCTTGATATCTAACATTGTGGTTTGAAGGTTCTTGGTCGACCAAATTGTGCGACGACTTGACCGATATCGCCGTGGATTGACAGATCTTCTCAACGAGATCACACGAGATTATGGTATCTTTCTAATATATTTTTTCGCACATTTTTTGAATATTACTAAACAGAAATTTCTTTCGGATTTTTCGATGGATTCATTGGAGAAACGATTTTCCTGTTGAAGGGATCGTTGATCTATCAATCGGCCTCCAACATCCGAATGACAATGAGCGTGTGGCTGTACTGCAATATCCGGGTGACCTGCAAATCGAATCCGAAGGACGGCGAGATCCTGAAGCGTTGCGGCGATGGAACGCTGGTGACAACGAGCACCATAAACGACTTTACGAGACGTGGCCATGGATCACCACTGATGAGGTGATTGAGTTGATGTTTTGAAATATTGTAATGAGAAGAAGAGTTCAGTACAGGTGCGACGGGCACGCCGATTTTTGGAATACGGTAGGCGCAAAATGTATGTACCTGGAGCTCGTTCCCACTGCGTTGAGATGACGAGCGCTATGGAATAGCTCACACATACCAACTTTTCGCGCATGAAGTCACTGCCTCACCCCTGAACTGGTCTACATTCCCTTTGGGCGCGAATTCCTTCGCTCGTGACTCATAACAGCGGGCGGCATTCCGCATGTACATATATTTCGCGACCACCGTATTCGAAAAGTTGGCGTGCACCTTCCACTTGTATTGCCAACCAGGGGGGGAGAATGGACTTCATCCCATCGAATGGTGGGATGCCGTGCCTATGGTGCCGACGTTTCAAAATCGATTTCAGATATTTTTTATAGAAATCAATCTGAACCCCTTCAGTACAACTCGTTCGACAATCGGGCCTACTGCCAATGCCATCAAATATGGGAATCGGTACGCTCGATCTGTGGCTCATTTCCACTCTCTGATTGCTGAACGGAAAATTCTTAGCGACGCATTTCATAAGAATTTGGAGCGGCCCGTGTTAGAGCACGACTATGACCATGTGATCGGATATGAGGAGAATAAGGGCTATGGATTTCAGTTCACGAAGAATCCGAAGGTTGGTAGTTTCAACTTTCTGCATTCTGCTTACCTTCTGAGAGACAATGTTAAGAAATTCACATTTATATTATAACTTATGGGTTGTGATGTTGTTCGAGATTTCCTTTCTTCATGAAGTAAGTGAAATTGTCGATGTTAATTTGGGACTCAAGGCAACGAGAGAGCAGCCTCAGCCACTTATCGCATTGCTAGTGCTTTTTACCCGTCTCAAGTAGAAAATGGACAACCATAGACTCGAGAAACCCCGCCGATCAGAGCACCTAATAGGCATTAGGAGGCTGTCAGCGCAGGCTATTCGCGAACGTACAAGTGAAATTCTGGCTAGTTATTTAGCCTGCCTACTCTTCATCAGTGTCAAATGAGTAGGCTGTATTTTAGTACACATGGTTTAGGCGCTATAGTAATAGGCGGGGGCATAATAATGGCAATGCATTCGGAAACCGCGTAAAACATCTCCTTTCTCGGGACAGGAGGACTACTCTGACAAGGGAGGTCTTTCAGGACATGGAGCGCTTTTTCGAAATGGTTTCTGCATGTTGTAGGGGCTCATGCGAGGAACACAGAACCATGATCCATTTTTCCTGAACGCCTCCAGGAATGTCAAAACAGTGGTGAAGAAATGGTCCAGAGTTCGATCCCCGGTGATGACTAATTTTTGCAATATAGTTTGGCGCCCCAGATTGCCGCCAAATGGCGCCATCGTCGAGAATAGATGTCATGTCGTGTTTTGCGGCAATTTGGAGGCGCAACATAAATTGCAAAAATTTGTCATCACGGAGGATCGAACTTTGGACCATTTCTTCCCCGCTGTTTTGACATTCCTGGGGGCGTTCAGGAAAAATGGACCATGGTTCTGTGTTCCTCACATGAGCCTCTACAACATGCAGAAACCATTTTGAAAAAACGCTCCATGTCCTGAAAGACCCTCCTTGTTAGGCGAGGCAGGAGAAAATTCAGGGTGAGTGAACACTTCCCAGTTCTCCTGAAAATTCTGCTCCCGTCTGAGCTTGATTCCAGAGGACGCCCTTGTATCCTGCGATAGCGCCCATGTTTCGTATAATTTATCCGTGAACTTGCAAGGTGGATTCCAGAAAAGTCGGAATTTTGTTATCTGGCTTCCATTGCTTCGAGTTCGAGAACTTACTGACGTACGCAGGCAAATCACGGCTTCTATGGCAAAGAACAAAAGCGGGCAAAAAGAGGAAAGAGTCCAGAGAAATTCAGTGTTGTGGTTCTTTTCTAGCTCATCAAGGTTGGATGCCAGTTTTATTATGTGCTGTACATTTTGAGGCGAATGAAAGGTGCACACTTCCTTACAGTACTGCATGTACAGGGTGAGCTCAAATTGCGGAAATGTGCAAAAAAAGCTCCGAGACTCATGGCTGTCTGGTGGGTTTGAATTCTGGCTGGGAAAAATGATTCGTTTTTTGGGAAGAACAATATTCAGCATTATAACGTGATCAACCATCACCAGTTTGGATACGAACTTTAGCCTTAGGAAGAAGGGGGTGGGGTACATCGCGGCACGTAAGCAGGTGTCTTTATATTCGATCTCTGGTTTCTAGCGCTTTACATTATGCAAGCTTCGAATCTGTCGCAGACACACATCCGTCAAACGAATTCGAATCGATTCAAAATAATTGAAACCTGAACGGTTTCGATTGCTGCAAAAGTGGCCACGAATCCCTTGAAGTTGAGACGGCCATAGTGGTTAGTCTTCCTGTTCTTCTTCTTCTCCCTAGCATTAGTCCCACGCAGTCGCAGGGTCCGCTAAGTGGGTAGTCCTTGAGAAGCTCCTTGGAACAGCTCCCCAGTCTCCATGCAGGATATATGTAATTTCTTGAGCGCGAGCGTTCCGTAGGTCGAGCCCACGCTATAGTCGACACGAACCCTCCAGTTATGCAATTTCATTAGAGCAATCAATAGGCGTGCCTCCTGACTTACACCGGTCCATTTCTGCTTAAACCCCTAACCATTTCAAAAGATGTGTGGCACTTTCAAGTTCAAAGCGAGTTTCAGCGATATTTGTTGAAAATTGCAACTGAAAGATCGTTAGTATGTGGGTCTCACCACATTTTATAACATGTAGATGAATTTCTACGGCACATTCTATTGCGTAACATGTGAGAAGCTAAGGAACAGAAAGTTCTGAATTTTTAGGGTGCTTAATATTGAGAAAAACCAGATCTTTCAGGGACAGTGGATATTCGGGCATTCTGGATTTGGAGGTCAAAATGTTCGAGTGGATATGCATAATGGTCTTTCGTACGCCTATTTGTGCAACGGTCTGAAAATCTCTGACGCTGATCTCGTAGAGCCGTGGAAACGACTTGTCGACAAATTATATTCTCTGTTATGATATTATATAAGGGTAGCTGCATTTTATAATATTATGTAGGTTTGTCGTGTAGATATATAGAAATTAAAGATTTTTATAGATTTTACAGCAGTTCTCTGTAAAGGAACAGCAGACCTCAGCTCGGTCGCTGTTTTTAAAAATTATTTCTTTTTAGCTGTAGAGACATCTCAGAGACGAGGTTTAGTTACAGCCATGTACTCAGGTGCTGAACTTGACTACGGAAGATGCAGATTTATTTTCTGAACACAATACAACCGTATGCCTCATACTGACTAAACGACACTCTTACATCTGCACGTTCAGGCGAGTGGGGGAGGGTGTTGAAACACTGGCTCATAACAACATTCGATAACGTGATACCGATAGAATACACGACAAAACCTAACATGCCCGAGAGAGACATAGAGTCGTCCCAACTCTACATCAACAGTGATAGCTAGTCTTTTTCAGTGTTAAGCTGGTTGTTATGTCTTCGACGTGATGAGTGGAAGGTTTATTCGCAGGCATGGGACCAGACAAAAGTGAATGCAACCATACTCGTGAAGGTTTATATAAGCATCATGTTTATGTGGTGATGATCCATCACCACTATCACAGTGTACACAAATATACTGAAGTTCATTTCATGAGAATGTATGGCGCATTCGGCCTACTTCCACACTGATCTTCGTCAGTGTGAGAAAAGCGCTTTCATTACCTAGTGACGTCGGTGCATTGTTTCCTCATTCGCACCTCTTCCTCTCGATGTCTTCCTTTTCCAGTCATTGCTTGCTTGGTTGACGACTATATTTCCATATGGTGACGCCTACTCGAGTCAATAATTCCTGAAAAATTCGGCTTGGGTCCTCGATTTGACATCTAGCCTTCGCTATTTTCCCTCTATGTTTATCTCCACAGCACTCCTTCTTAGAACTTGAGGCCACGTTGGTCAACTGGGCATTCGAACATTTTCTTTGTTACTTGAGTGCTGGTAGTGTCACGTGCTTTATTTGCTCAAATATTGTTAGGTTGAACAAAAACTACCCACCGTTTTCATTTCACTCATGAGTTCATTAGTAAAACGAATTTCATAAGTTTAACCAAACAAAAACAACAATAAATGAGTGACCAACAACGCTTTCGAACAGTCTTCTCTGCAATGCCTTCATCCCAGGCTTCATTGATTCTACGAGCAGATGCAGAAGCATTCGGTTTCGAGCTCAACTTGCACTCATGTAGCAGGGCAATCTTTTTTGCTCGCGTGTAAGCTCCAGAGTGAAGCAAATACACAAGTGTTGTACATCAAAATGTACAAGAGATTGCGCGCTTTCAGACTACATCATAATCTTCAAAAATAATCAGCAAAAAATCAAAGAGAAATGCACATAAAAAAGGGCGGATAATAATTGTTCAACACAATCTGTATATACCGCAGTCACATCTCCAACGCAGAATGAGAGGATTTTCAACTGTGATTCGCGTCCTACTGCAAGCCTCCCTTTCCAAGACGGCTTCATCGAGTTCCTTGACCCATCCGTCAAGGTTGTAAGAGCTAAGACCTCTAATGTCAAACACGTGATAGGATCAAAGATTCACCAGCTTGGGGTGCAAGATAACTGATTTTTATGGAAACTTTCATGACTACCCAATCACCGGCCATTGGGGTTTCTAGGCCTACTTGCTTTTCGCGATCATGAAATCAAAGAATTTCCTCCTTTTAGCGCCTCTAATCATTTTGCGTCGTAATCACAGGCAATTTTCGCTGCGGCCGCTACTTCTTGCTTATAGTTCTCCAAACTGCATGGCTGCTGATTTCGTTGTTAGGTACTGTTTTCCACGGAGCGTACGGATCGAATCCGTGTCACAAATATAATAAAAAAGTGACTCTACTTTGTGTGGGTGAGCTTTTGTTCGTTGACCGCGATCAGGTCGGCGAAACGCCCTGCTAGAGGTTCCATTCTCTCATTACGCTTCCTCTTGTCCATTAAAGCGCATAGCACTTGTTCTTCCGCGTCTGCAGACGCTTCCACAGTGCATCCTAACATGTCTTCAAGATAGTCAGGTAATGCTTCCACAACTATCACGACTTTGAAGGTCATCATCTTCTCTCCCCGTGGGAAATCATTTTGCTCCTGCAGAGATGCTTCCTATGGGCAGGTTCTCTGTCTGCTTTTCTTGTACCTGTTGTGATTCCCCAGCGGCAAGACGATCTGTCTTACTAGGAAAATGTACCAGTATCGTCTTCGTCGATGCCAGCTGCTCACCTGTTGAAGGCTCTTCTGGAAGCTACATATTGCAACTCAGCTGAGCTTATCTCTAAACTTGTCGACATCATGCAATCTGTAACTGGAAATGTGTTAGTGTTGCTCCGCCAAGTCGACCTATAGCATCATTCACACTCCACGTCGGAGCTGTTACAATTGCCCGTACCCGTACAGTCTTTGACTCTAAAGCCGCAACTATCGCTGACCCTCTTTTTGTGTTCAATAACACTGACTCTCAGCGGCTTAACTTCTACATTAGTCACTCTCGACGGCCGAGGAGGCTATTCGGTTGGGTTCGGTTTGTTCTGCCCCCAAGTTGCACCTGAGTTTACTCCAAAAAAGGACCTGATTACGTAAGATGCACCTTTATTGTCTGAAGCCAGACAGAAAAAATCAACAAACTGTCTCAGACTGACTCAGTGTCACTCTTATATGGGCACATACTAGGGGACCGAACAACGGTTGGTGTTATCTTTTCTTAAAGTAGTTGATACCGCTAAAAGGATATCGCCCACATCAGCCGGATGTCTAATTCTCAACAGCCGTAATTTCTTTTCGATTTACAGCAGCACAACAAAACCTAACAAGCACAATCTTTCGATGGGTCAACGCAGAGGTGTCAAATGGTATAGTGGCGACGAAGAAGACAACAAAATAACTTTCAAAACCACATAATTAAGGCCATTATTCTGTCGAGTGAATATGGGCCTTCTGATAGCTTTAATACTGATGGTTTCGGTGAGAGTGTCGGAAATGCACTTGCAATATGAGAATCGGACAATAATCGTAACAGTATAGCAAATGAAAACAGTTTCCGTGGTGCGATTTCGGAGGTGGTGTGAGGTTTAGGATCGAACCCTAACCGCATCGCAACTAAGGCACCTCCTGCCGCGAGAACGTCATACCACGCTTTTCTTGACGCATGGCTCCGCATCGACTCCTGAATGTACTTTCCAGGTATAGATGTACTCTATCGTACTCTTTACCTCCAAGTTCTCTGTAAACTCAATCGCTTGTCAGTAGTGCTTATAAGTACGCATAGACTTTACCAGTTTATTCACTATTTGGACATTTAAAATCCGAGCTCAACCTTCCTCCTTTGAGGAGGATTTGTTTGGAACGATTCTGCTCTCAAGAGGAACCATCTTCTTGCGGAACAATATCCATGAAACAATTATCACGGAAATCAACGCTATATCTGTCAGCCATGGCACTTGCGGTCCAAACGCCGTATAGAGAAAACTGAAAATACATACAGTTTCAGAATTAAATAAATGGTATGATGACGAACTATTTCTCAATTACTAAAGTTATGTCAGCTAGACTAATGGAGGCCTACCACAAATCCAGAACACATTCTGTCAACGGAGGTTCTATGACTATGAGAAATGTTTAATTTCAAAGAAGTTAGGGAGCAACGCCCTTCTTGGAGTGAGGCGAAGTGTACGTGAAAACGTGTAAAGACGAGTGAGCCCTTGCCACGTGGCACGCGTCAGTGAATGATGACGCGATGGTTGCTCTCATACTTTGCTCCGTTGCGGACATTGTGGATAGCACCGATGGTGCGGACAGCGCGGATCTTGAAGACGTGACCATACACAGTGATTATTGACGCGTACCTGGCGCACAGACCGCGCCATTCGGTCAATTAGCTGTAAATTCATGACATTCTGTATATTGTTAAGTGTTCCGCGTGCCGTGTTGCTTACGCTTATGTTTTTTAGGCAAGAAACTTTCCTTTCTCATGAAATTGGTTTTCAGTTGTCCCTAACCGGTAAGGCCCGCCTTCATAAGCAGCTACTCCGGAGATTAGGATAGTACGGACAATGAAAAAAATATAATACCTATCAACGGGGGTGTAGGAGAGCGGGAGAGTGCGCTAAGAAGACCAGATACGTATTGTCCGATATGATTGGAGACACTTCTATCTATCTACTTCTATCCAGCGATTTCGATCGATACGTATCTTGACCACCTACTCTACTACTATCTGAATATGCCATCGTTATCCTGGTCTTCCAGGAACTATGAATGCGACCAAAACCTGTAAAATTGCTTGAGATAGCGGCGGTAGCCTTCGGGTGAGTTCACCTATGTACAAAAACAATAATTACACATAAAAAGGAAGTTTTGAGCTGGAAAAAACGAGCGAAAGCTACACCGCAAGTAAACCACACCTAAAATCATACATAATGTAAAGAAATCAAAACTGATCGATTTGAAGGCGCAGACTACGCGCCAACTACGCTCGTCTTGACGCTGCTCGCAGGTCCGCAGGTCGTTACATTCCCTCCTCAACGGTGCAAAGCATGAAAGCACCATATGAAAGCACGTAACGCGACGAGGTTCATTTTTCTTCCCTAACTTCTTGCTGTGTAGCTGCATAGGCAACGGTGATCACCTATTGCACGGCTTACCCATCTGTCCAGCCCATATGCTATTGAAAGGAGTCCTATTCGTTCTTCCGCTTCAGGTTTAGCTCTCCCGTAACTTAGCTTATTTTCACTCTCACTTTTTACTTTTTTTTACTTTTTCACTTTTGCGTTTATTTTTAGAACCAACTCTTTGCAGAAAAGCGCTCAATCCAGTGAATGTGCTTAAACCTCGAACCTCCACGTCTAACAAATTGTTCCGCTTTCTTGTCGACACCGCTTCAAACATTGGAGGCGAGAATTATCGAAAACAACCTCTTCGAGGATATGTACTTGCGAAGGCGTGGAAGAAAAACCGCGGTCGGGGTAAAGCCTCCCTTGCGGGAAGGAGAGAGGCCATACTTTCTCGAAAAATTCTTCTACATATGTACGAGGAATATCGCTTTTGATGTTTTCACGGAATTTAACGAATAAGTACAGAACGGGATGCTGGCTAGCTATAAAATTGCTCCTTCTGTAACGAAAACAAGTTGCGGCGAACCTTGTGATAAGAGGCGCTAACATTCTGCCAATTGATCCTGACATTTGAAAGAGTCCTTGAAGAGTACCCTGAAAGTTCAATCATGGAGTGAGATAATTTCTTTACAAAGGCTTCTCTTCTGCGTATATCATTAACAGGCCCGATTCTCGAAAATTTCCAAGGTGGATCCCCGTCCAAACATGACGGAAGTGGCTGTCTTCTTTCGTTGAGGAGTAACAGGTGTGGCCATGATCAGTACTTTCTTACCTTATTTCATATCGCTGCAACTCATTTGGATACTTTTATCTGTCATCTTACACTAACTGGTACTCACTATCGCAACAATGACAGCAAGCAATGATACTTCTGCAGTAGCAGTAATATGTAGCAGTAGCTATGGACCTTACACCTTTCTTATGTAAATCAGAAGTTTGGCTATGAACTTACCTGTCGCCGTGGCCCTATCACTTCGGAATACAGGGTAGTGATGGCTATATTCATGATGGACACTCCAAATCCAAACACGAAAACGAACATTGTGTAGTACACCTTCAAAGACAAAATAAATACGAAGGCTCTGATGGTGAGTGGGAGGGGGTTTATGAATGCGCGGTACAGCCTGGCAATAGATTGCTAATGTCGAAGTTCCGTATCCGTTATCCCCACATATCGATTTTGCATAGTTCTACCTGCATAATTCTACCTCCTCAAATTTGCTATACTTTTTCTTAACGGCTTATGGGTAGGAATATTTTCCATCTGTTCCTCTATCGTCTGGTACTGCGTAAAGGAGAATGAAGAAGGGCTCTGAGGTTTTTTTTTTGTTGAATAGAAAGTTTGAAGAATAGTCCTAAATTGTGAATAGATAACAAAATAAATAGACCCAATGTTAAGCAGAAAATGATTCACACTGCTGTAGTAAACAAGATGTGGCAGCTCCTCTGCAGCAAGCTCTGCTTATTCGCGCGGGTGTTATATTTACAAACACGTTGACAGTTTAAGGAACGAGGTGAGGAAAGCAAGAAAGGGAGTGGGTGTAGCTTGCAAGTGAGGGTACCATTAGCTGTTTGACTAGCAGTATCTACCGAACTGTTTCTAGCTATGATCTCACATTTGGCTTAATCTGTTCCCAATTGAAGATGAGAATCTGGGCTTGATGGATAAGTCACAATAACATATGTAGGTGCACAATTAGACGAAAAGAGATAGCAAAGAAGTTCTGCGTCGCTTGATTTTAGCCATCGCTAAATGACCGAGACGAGCCTTAATGAGCCTTGAGCTGGAAGCGGCCAATTTTCTGGGTAGACTTATGGGTTTTGAACGTATTGTTTGTGCACTTCGGCAGAGTTTGAGAATTATCACCCTTTCTTGACAACAATTCAAATAGTTTTGTTTCGTTTCCAAGATCTCTAAGTTTAATACGGCTTCTCACTCCCTCCACCAAGGCCTTTTGTCTATCAAGCTGCTGTTTAGTGTTGAAATTCCAAAACTGAGAGAGCCCTAATAGTGGTAGATATGCAATTTTATCCTTTCACAAATGATAGAAGCGAACCCTTCAAAATCAGGAGTAAGCCTGTGCTATCGAAGAGTAAAGGAAAAGGGAAGCTGGTTAGTAAAACAATTTCTTTCCTTCAAAATCGTGAGGTAGACTTTCCTTTAAATCGAAGTAAACAAAACTCACAACAGGAGAAACTTGGGTGAGGTCATCACACCAACTAAACCGATCACTGAAACAACCCGCATCGGAACCTGTAAGGACTCCGTATCATTTCCTCAAGATATCTCTGTGATAGTGCACAAGTGCCACCAATTTCTTGACTGCTTTCGCTTCTGTTAGAAGAAACAACTGAGAGCTTAACTGACCGTTAATTGATATTTCAACTTTGCTTGGTAGGAACGGCCAGGGTAGAGTGAACAAAAACAGACAAGCATAAGAAATCATCACGAGAATAGTCGCTCGTCGTGGACGTATACTTAATAAGAACGATTTTAATATAAGTAAGCAAGTCGTTTCATCTGATCCAAGCATCCCTATGAACGGTTCAGAAAAAAATGAAAAAATCCCATGCGGGCCCAATCCAAGAATCTTATCATCACTTAAAAATCTTCCTCTTATTTTGTTTGGGCCCAATTCTATTCGAGCGGAATGATTTTGCTGAAACGAGCACCTCGAGTTTTTTTAAGCATGATTACCATTTTGTGAGGTCGTAGAAAATGAACACAAAATAGAGGGCGACGCCGATCACTCCTGCGCCAAGATGTGATGCGGCGCTCGCTATCACAGCTTCTTCCTTGTTGAACGAGAACATCAGCATAGAAAACGCCGATCCGAGGCTGGAAATCAGTAGCTTTTCAATTTATTCAACCTAAAGGCAAACAAAAATAAGTAAAACAGAAATAAGAGTGAATCCCCATTTGTCAAGTGAAGACACATATAATCGGTGGGAAATTGTGAATTCTCTTATCAGATGCAAGCTCAAGTACCTCTCCATAAAGATTTACCTTCATTTCAGAATTACTCACTCTCTCACTATTTGTGAAAAGATGCCCCAGTCATATTCTCTACCCCACTAAATCATCCTCCTTCACTCCTCCTCCGCTCTCTGGCCTCGTAGCTGAATGTTTCACAAGTTATTATATTTACATATTTGCACGGTATTTATGACTGCTAGGAAGACTAACAAATGCTGGTCTTTTTGAAGGAGCATAGTTCATTGAAATTGATTGGGAGTGAAAAAAGTGATTTAGCTCTGAGTTAATCAGCGCATAAAATCTCAAGCGATTTTAGAGTTTTATCAGTTATTTTTGAGGAAAAATATGAACCATATTCACTCATTCATTTTATTACAAGACGCAAGCATCTCAAAAAAGTGAAAGAGGTGAAAAAGTGAGTCAGTGAAGAATTGGGGTGGCAAGTAGCTCCATAAGAACAGAACCCTCATAAATTAGGTTTTTGACATTGTCTCTTCAGCTAATCTCTGGAATATCCATTTTCCCAACTTCACTGTCATCTCTATCCTTCGAAAGGATAATCTAATGCTCTACCTGTACCGGCACCAAATTTAAAAACTTAATATCATAGAACCAACATAGCCGTCATCCCCCCTTTAAACTCAATTCACGTGACAAAAGATTTTTACTCTTCAGATACTGGAAACTGATGCTCTTTGTTTTGTGCACTTATTCTGTTTTCTATCCTTAAGCAGACTATAGTTAGAGGCCGGCATAAAGCGCTGGCTTTTCTGATCAACTCACGTTGCGATCGTTGCTGAACCGAAAATCTGGACAAATCGTGTTGAGACACACACTAGCACAGCAATCACGCATGGTGAAGGCAATTCGGCATTACCCTGCAAAGTCGCAACGAGCTAGATCACTTGAAAAAACGAACGCCATGTGGGTTGGATGAAGGCC